AATGCCTCTAGAACATGGCCCTATAGCCCGAAAAAACCTACAAGAACCTAGTGATTCCAGCCATGAAAGCCTTCGACAATACATTAAACTGTTGCTGTTTGTTTTGCTTGTAGTTCTGCACCGTGATCTGATCCCACCACAGCTTTTCCATTCGTGATAACTACGATTTATCTCAAGACTGCTGCTCCGAAGTTTGGCCATCACATTTGGGAGCATCCAATGCAGTGCTTCACTTTTGGCAGAGCCGGCTTGCTGTTACTCCCCTCGTATCCACCCTCTTAAAGATGAATTGTTAGATAAATTCCACAGGGAACCAAAGAAAGAAGCCTTACACTGAGGCTCGGAACAAGAGATTAATATGTATTGTGTGGTATGGAATATGTCCTCTTTGGCTTTAACAATGACTTTTGTAATAAAGGATGTGCAACTCATTCACATTTCTCTCTGGCTCTTGGGAGATAATAATTGCCAAATTTTCCATGTTGTACTTTCTTAGGTGGTGCAATGGGTTAAACCCTTGTGCCGGGAGGACTACTGACCAATAGGTCAGTGGTTTGAATCCTGGGAGAGCTCCCTCTGTCAGCTCCAGCTCCCTGTGCAGGGACATGAGAGAAGCCTCCCACAAGGATGGTAAAAACATCAAATATCCAAGTGTCCCCAGGTAATGTTCTTGCACCAGAAGAGAAAGAGGGAGAGAGGGAAGGAGGGAGGGAAGACGAAAGGGAGGAATGACAAAGAGGAAGGAAGGAAGGAAGGAAGGAAGGGAAGGAAGGAAGGAGAAAGAGGGAAAGGGAAAGAGGGAGAAAAGATGGAAGGAAAGAAAAGGAAGGGAAGGAGAAAGAGGGAGAGAGGGAAAGACAAAAGGGAGGGAAGGATGAAAGGGTGGAAGGGAAGGAAGAAAGAGTAGGAAGGAAGGAGGAAAGGGTGGGAGAGACTAGAGGGAAGGGAAGGAGGAATGGTTAGGAAAGACAAAAGAGAAAGAGAAGGATGAAAGGGTGGAAGGGAAGGAAATAGGGAGGGAAAAAGAGGGAGGTAAGGAATGGAGGGAGGGAAAGAGGAAGGAAGGATGGGGAAGGGAAAGAAAGATTGCGGAAAGAAAGAAAGATGGACAGAAGGATGAAAGGGTGGAAGTGAATGGAGGGAGAGAGGGAAGAAGGGAGGAAGGAAGGAAAAACAAAAGGGAGGGAAGGAGGAAGGGAAGAGAGAAGGAAAGACAAGGGTGGGAAGGATGAAAGGGTGGAAGTAAAGGATGGATAGAAGAATGGAAGGGCTGGAGGAGGGAAAGATATGAAGCATCAGAATTGTCAATGCTTCTTCCAAAGAATGCTGGGACTTATAGAATCATAGAATCAAAGAGTTGGAAGTGACCTCATGGGCCATCCAGTCCAACCCCCTGCCAAGAAGCAAATACATTCAAAGCACCCCTGACCAGATGGCCATCCAGCCTGTTTAAAAGCTTCCAAAGAAGGAGCCTCCACCACACTCCGGGGCAGAGAGTTCCACTGCTGGAAGTTCTTCCTCATGTTCAGGAAGTCAGGAATTTCTTCCTCATGTTCAGATGGAATCTCCTCTCTTGTAGTTTGAAGCCATTGTTTCGTGTCCTAGTCTCCAGGGAAGCAGAAAACAAGCTTGCTCCCTCCTCCCTGTGGCTTCCTCTCACATATTTATACATGGCTATCACGTCTCCTCTCAGCCCAGCTCCTTAAGCTGCTCCTCATAGGGCTTGTTCTCCAGACCCTTGATCATTTTAGTCGCCCTCCTCTGGACACATTCCAGCTTGTCAACATCTCCCTTCAATTGTGGAGCCCAGAATTAGACACAGTATTCCAGGTGTGGTCTAACCAAGTCGGAATAGAGCATGGGGAGCATGACTTCCCTAGATCTAGACACTATGCTCCTCTTGATGCAGGCCAAAATCCCATTGGCTTTTTTTGCCGCCGCATCACATTGTTGGCTCATGTTTAACTTGTTGTTCACGAGGACTCCAAGATCTTTTTCACACGTACTGCTCTCGAGCCAGGCATCGTCCCCCAGTCTGTATCTTTGCATTTCGTTTTTCCTGCCAAAGTGGAGTATCTTGCATTTGTCACTGTTGAATTTCATTTTGTTAGTTTTGGCCCATCTCTTTAATCTGTCAAGATCGTTTTAAATTCTGCTCTTGTCCTCTGGAGTGTTTTATATTTGTTGTGTCTGGGCAACCAGTCAATTGTGTTAGATTTCTAACAGAACAAAACAAACAAACAGACAAAATACAAAATTTGCGAGTTTGGGTTTTGATTAAATGTCCTTTGACCAGTATCTGGCCACTTGGAGTGCTTCCGGTGTTACCGCAAGAAGGTCCTCCCTTGTGCATGTGGCAGGGCTCAGGTTGCATTGCAGCAGGTGGTCTGTAGTTCGCTTCTCCACACTCGCATGTCGAGGATTCCACTTTGTAGCCCCATTTCTGAAGGTTGGCTCTGCATCTTGTGGTGTTAGAGCGCAGTCTGTTTAGTGCCTTCCAAGACGCCCAGTCTTCTGTGTACCCAGGGGGAAGTTTCTCATTTGGTATCAGCCATTGGTTGAGTTCTGGGTTTGAGCCTGCCACTTTTGGACTCTCACTTGCTGAGGTGTTCCAGCTAGTGTCTCTGTCGATCTTAGAAAACTATGTCTAGATTTAAGTCATTGACGTGCTGGCTGATACCCAAACAGGGGATGAGCTGGAGATGTCTCTGCCTTGGTCCTTTCACTATTGGCTGCTACTTCCCAGCGGATGTCAGGTGGCGCGATACCGGCTAAGCAGTGTAATTTCTCCAGTGGTGTAGGGCGCAGACACCCCGTGATAATGCGGCATGTCTCATTAAGAGCCACATCCACTGTTTTAGCGTGGTGAGATGTGTTCCACACAGGGCATGCGTTCTCAGCAGCAGAGTAGCACAGTGCAAGGGCAGATGTCTTTACTGTGTCTGGTTGTGATCTCCAGGTTGTGCCAGTCAGCTTTCGTATGATATTGTTTCTAGCACCCACTTTTTTCTTGCTATTCAGGCAGTGCTTCTTGTAGGTAAGAGCACGGTCCAGAGTGACTCCCAGGTATTTGGGTGTGCTGCAGTGCTCCAGTGGGATTCCTTCCCAGGTAATCCTCAGAGCTCGGGATGCTTGCCTGTTCTTAAGGTGAAAGGCGCATGTCTGTGTTTTAGATGGATTAGAGATCAGCTTGTTTTCCCTGTAGTAGGCAGTAAGAGCACCTAGAGCTTCAGAGAGCTTCTGTTCAACCATCTCAAAGCTCCCTGCTTGAGCAGTAATGGCATGATCATGAGCATAGATGAAGCTCTCTGTCCCTTCTGGCAGTGGCTAGTCATTTGTGTAGATGTTGAACATGGATGGAGCAAGCACGCTCCCCTGAGGCAGGCTGTTCTTCTGTTTCCACCATCTGCTTCTCTGGCCCTAGAACTCAACAAAGAAGCTCCTACAAGAAGCACTGCCTGAACATCAAGCAGAAAGTGGGTGCCAGAAACAATATCATACGAAAGCTGACTGGCACAACTTGGAGATCACAATTTATTTATTTATTTATTTACAGTTCTTATATTCCGCCCTTCTCACCCCGCAGGGGACTCAGGGCGGATTACAGTAAACACATATATGGCAAACATTCAATGCCAGTTTGACAAACAACATTTAACAGACAAAGGCTATTTAACTTTTTTTTCTGGCCGCCAGGGGAGCTGCTGCTTTTCATCGTCCATCAACGACACCGATGAAGTTCTTCCGCATTCCACATTCCCCGGAGTCTTCTTTCTTTATGGCCTCATAAATTAGTTAAATTTAGCCTCCCACACAAGGTGGTACCTTATTTTCCTACTTGACAGATGCAACTGTCTTTCGGGTTGCAAAGGTCGACAACGAGCTACACAATGGCTGGACACCCACTCCAGCCCGGGCTGGCTTCGAACTCATGACCTTTTGGTCAGAGTGATCTTAATGCAGCTGACACTCAGCCAGCTGCACCACAATCCTGGCACAACCTGGGGATCACAACCAGATACAGTGAAGACATCTGCCCTTGCGCTGTGCTACTCTGCTGCTGAGTATGCATGCCCAGTGTGGAACACATCTCACCACACTAAAACAATGGATGTGGCTCTTAATGAGACATGCCGCATTATCACGGGGTGTCTGCGCCCCACACCACTGGAGAAATTACACTGCTTAGCCGGTATCGCACCACCTGACATCCGCCGGGAAGTAGCAGCCAATAGTGAAAGGACCAAGGCAGAGACATCTCCAGCTCATCCGCTGTTTGGGTATCAGCCAGCACGCCAAAGGCTTAAATCAAGAAATAGTTTTCTTAGATCTACAGAGACACTCGCCGGAACACCTCAGCAAGCGAGAGTCCAAAAGTGGCAGGCTCAAACCCAGAACCTCAACCAATGGCTGATACCAAATGAGAGACACACAGAGGACTGGGTGACTTGGAAGGCGCTGAACAGACTGCGCTCTGGCACCACGAGATGTAGAGCCAATCTTAAGAAATGGGACTACGGGGTGGAATCCATGGCATGCGAGTGGGGAGAAGAGCAAACCACTGACCACCTGCTGCAATGCACCCTGAGCCCTGCTACATGCACAATGGAGGACCTTCTTGCAGCAACACCGGAGGCACTCCAAGTGGCCAGATACTGGTCAAAGGACACTTAACCAACTACCAAACTCACAAGTAGTGTATTTTTCTGTTTCCTTGCTTTGTTCTGTTAGAAATGTACTATAATGGACTGGTTGCTCTGACACGACAAATAAAATTTGAATACTATGGGAGCTGTAGTTTTGCAAAGAGCCAATCATTCCCATTACCAAACTGCATTCATTTTATAATTGGCCCCCCCAAAAAAAAAGTTGGTCCAGGGAAGTGACGTCACGGCCTGGAAAGCACGCGGCTTGTGTTGTGATGACGTCACAGCGGGAGGCCTGCCAAAGAGAAGCGCAGGCGAGAGAGAGAGAGAGAGGAGCGCTGCTTAGTGCACTATGCCACCCGGAAGCGCTTGCTCTGCAGGGCTGTGAGGAGGGAAGATGGCGGCGGAGGAGCCTCAGCAGCAGCCGGAGCCCCTCGGCGGGGACACGGACGGTAATGGGAGGCCTCGGGGGGGAAATAGAGGGACTCACCTCCGGGAATGGAGAGCTTGGGCCTCCGAGGGAGCGGCTGCCTCCCTTTCCTCGCCTCGAGTGGGCCCTTTTCCCTTTCTTCAATGGAGCCCCCGGTTGGACTAGGCCTCGCCGTTGCCCCGGCAACCAGGGGGGCGTGGGCGGGGCGCCCCCGTCTCCATGGAAACGGAGGAGCAGAAAGGGCCTTGTAACTTTGGGCTTCTGAAGAGAACGCCCAAGGAAGGGAGGGAGGAGGGCCAGGCTTCCATATTGGGAATATTATTATTATTATTATTATTATTATTATTATTATTGTCTCCTTGCAAATTGGAGGTCCAAAACTGCTTTAATACTACACTAGGTCTGGGCCAACTAAGGCCTTCCAGATGTTTTGGACTTCAACTCCCACCATTCCTAGCAGACTCAGGCCCCTTCCCTTGGACTTCAACTCCCACCATTCCTAGCAGACTCAGGCCCCTTCCCTTGGACTTCAACTCCCACCATTCCTAGCAGACTCAGGCCCCTTCCCTTGGACTTCAACTCCTACCATTCCTAGCAGACTCAGGCCCCTTCCCTTGGACTTCAACTCCCACCATTCCTAGCAGACTCAGGCCCCTTCCCTTGGACTTCAACTCCTACCATTCCTAGCAGACTCAGGCCCCTTCCCTTGGACTTCAACTCCCACCATTCCTAGCAGACTCAGGCCCCTTCCCTTGGACTTCAACTCCTACCATTCCTAGCAGACTCAGGCCCCTTCCCTTGGACTTCAACTCCCACCATTCCTAGCAGACTCAGGCCCCTTCCCTTGGACTTCAACTCCCACCATTCCTAGCAGACTCAGGCCCCTTCCCTTGGACTTCAACTCCTACCATTCCTAGCAGACTCAGGCCCCTTCCCTTGGACTTCAACTCCTACCATTCCTAGCAGACTCAGGCCCCTTCCCTTGGACTTCAACTCCTACCATTCCTAGCAGACTCAGGCCCCTTCCCTTGGACTTCAACTCCTACCATTCCTAGCAGACTCAGGCCCCTTCCCTTGGACTTCAACTCCTACCATTCCTAGCAGACTCAGGCCCCTTCCCTTGGACTTCAACTCCCAGCATTCCTAACAGACTCAGGCCCCTTCCCTTGGACTTCAACTCCTACCATTCCTAACAGACTCAAGCCCCTTCCCTTGGACTTCAACTCCCAGCATTCCTAACAGACTCAGGCCCCTTCCCTTGGACTTCAACGACCATTCCTAGCAGCCTCCTTTTCTCTCTCAACTCCCACCATTCCTAACAGTGTCAGGCCCCTTCTCTTGGACTTCAACTCCCAGCATTCCTAGCAGACTCAGGCCCCTTCCCTTGGACTCAACTCCTACAATTCCTAGCAGCCTCAGGCCCCTTCCCTTGGACTTCAACTCCTCATTCCTAACAGCCTCGGGCCTCTTCCTTTCCCCCCTGAGCCACTAGAGGCCCTAGCTGGGAGTTGAAGTCCAAGGGAAGGGGCCTGAGTCTGCTAGGAATGGTAGGAGTTGAGGGGATAAAGGAAGGGGCCTGAGTCTGCTAGGAATGGTGGGAGTTGAAGGCAAGGAGCCTGAGGCTGCTAGGAATGGTGGGAGTTGAAGTCCAAGGGAAGGGACCTGAGGCTGTTAGGAATTGTAGGAGTTGAGGGGGAAAAGGAAGGGGACTGAGTCTGCTAGGAATGGTGGGAGTTCAGGGGGAAAAGGAAGGGGCCTGAGGCTGTTAGGAATGCTGGAAGTTGAAGTCCAAGGGAAGGGGCCTGAGGCTGTTAGGAATGGTGGGAGTTGAAGTCCAAGGGAAGGGGCCTGAGTCTGCTAGGAGTAGTAGGAGTTGAGGGGGAAATGGAAGGGGCCTGAGTCTGCTAGGAATGCTGGGAGTGGAAGTCCAAGGGAAGGGGCCTAAGTCTGTTAGGGATGGTAGGACTTAGGGGGAAAAGAAAGGGGCCTGACGCTGCTAGGAATGCTGGGAGTTGAAGTCCAAGGGAAGGGGCCTGAGTCTGTTAGGAATGGTAGGTGTTCAGGGGGAAAAGGAAGGGGCCTGAGTCTGCTAGGAATGCTGGAAGTCAAAGGGAAGGGGCCTGAGGCTGCTAGGAATCGTAGGAGTTGAAGTCCAAGGGAAGGGTGCCTGAGGCTGCCAGGAACGGTGGGAGTTGAAGTCCAAATACCCAGAGGGCCCAAGTTAGTCCAGGCCTGTTCTTAACCCCATTTGAAAACAACTTTACGAAGGCACAACTTTGCTAGGAGATAATGAGGTTGATTGGATGTCATGGCTGTTATTCTGAAGGAAAGGTAACCATGGTTTGTGCTGTGGAAATATCTCAGTTGCCACCAGTGGGTGCAATTGTAGTTAAAATGTTATTATTCTTGCATTTTGACCCAGCAGCGATTCCTAACCTTTGGTTCTACAGGAGTTTGGTACTCCCAGAAGCACCAGCCCACGGTGATCCGCACTCTTGCCACATTATGTATAGATCACTGCAATATGTTCTACGTGGGGTTGCCTTTGAAGACTGTTTGGAAGCGTCAATTGGTCCAATTGGCAGTGCCAGTCTGCTACTGAGCACAATTCAAAATGCTGGGTTTAGCCCTAAACAGTTCCGGCCCATCTTACTTGTCTGAATGTATCTCCCCCTATGAACTAATTCAGAGATTAATGTCGTGTGGAAAGGCCCTGGTCTCAGTCCCGCCTGCATCACAAGCGCGAGTGGTGGGGACCACAGACAGGGCCTTCTCAGTGGTGGCCCCTCCCTAGTGACATTAGATCAGCTCCCTCCCTTCTAGCCTTCCGAAAAAAAGTCAAAACCTGGCTCTGGGATCAAGCTTTCGGAGAATAGTTCAATTCAGTAATAGACCTGGAATATGTACAACAAACAAATAACAAATCAAAATAGCGGATAAAACAATCTCAATATAAAATTATAAAAGTAATTGGAAAAATAACTTAAAATAAAACTTAAATAAACAACACATCATACAACAGTTACCACATGATGAACTCTTAAAAATTAGACTTAAAAGGCATTAAAAGCTGAGATGGTTTACAGCAGGCATGGGTATACTTTGGCCCTCCAGGTATTTTGAACTTCAACTCCCATAATTTCTCATATCCTACTGCTGCCCGTTGGATGCTGTAAACCAGGCATGGGCAAAATTTGGCTCTCCCAAGTGTTTTGGGCTTCAACTCCCACAATTTCTAATAGCCTACCAGCGGTTAGGAATTGTGGGAGTTGAAGTCCACAACACCTAGAAAGCCAAAGTTGGCCCACGCCTGGCTTACAGCGTCCAACGGGCAGTGGTAGGTGTCCAATATATGGAGATGTACTAGTCCTCCTCCTCTCCGTAAGCTAAGGTGCATAAGAAAGTTTTTCAAAGCTTTTTAAAGGAGGTGAGAGAGGGGGCCATTTTTAGTTCTTTTGGGAGGGAGTTCCAGAGGAAGGGAGCCATAATGGAGAAGGCCCCTCCTTCATTCCCGGGGGTGGGACCAAGAGCAGGGCACAGACTGCAGTGATATGCTGCTTTGTATACAGTGCTCATGCTGGTTTGTATATTATTATAATTATAGTAATAATTATGCTGCTTTGTATATTATTATTATTATTATTATTATTATTCTAATCTAGGCTATGGGCTATTGAAGTCCAAATCACACGGGTTGTCCCAGGCCTCTTCTAATTCCATTAGGAGTTGTAGGAGTTGAAGCCCAAAGCACACAGAGAGCCAAAGTTGTCCCAGGCCTATCCTAACTCCATTAGGAATGGTGGGAGTTGAAGCCCAAAGCACATAGAGAGCCAAAGTTGTCCCAGGCCTGTCCTAACTCTATTAGGAATGGTGGGAGTTGAAGCCCAAAACATACGGAGGGCCAAAGTTGTCCCAGGCCTGTTCTAACTCCGTTTGGAATTGTGGGAGTTGAAGCCCAAAACACACAGAAGGCCAGAGTTGTCCCAGGCCTGTGCTAATTCCATTAGGAATGGTGGGAGTTGAAGCCCAAAACACACAGAGAGCCAAAGTTGTCCCAGGCTTGTCCTAACTCCATTAGGAATGGTGGGAGTTGAAGCCCAAAACACACAGAGGGCCAGAGTTGTCCCAGGCCTGTCCTAACTCCATTAGGAATTGTGGGAGTTGAAGCCCAAAACACATGGAGGGCCAGAGTTGTCCAAGGCCTGTGCAAATTCCATTAGGAGTTGTGGGAGTTGAAGCCCAAAACACACAGAGGGCCAGAGTTGTCCCAGGTCTGTCCTAACTCCATTAGGAATGGTGGGAGTTGAAGCCCAAAATACACAGAGAGCCAAAGTTGTCCCAGGCCTGTCCTAACTCCATTAGGAATGGTGGGAGTTGAAGCCCAAAACATACGGAGGGCCAAAGTTGTCCCAGGCCTGTCCTAACTCCATTTGGAATTGTGGAAGTTGAAGCCCAAAACACATGGAGGGCCAGAGTTGTCCCAGGCCTGTGCTAATTCCATTAGGAGTTGTGGGAGTTGAAGCCCAAAACACACAGAGGGCCAGAGTTGTCCCAGGCCTGTCCTAACTCCATTAGGAATGGTGGGAGTTGAAGCCCAAAACACACAGAGGGCCAGAGTTGTCCCAGGCCTGTCCTAACTCCATTAGGAATGGTGGGAGTTGAAGCCCAAAACACACAGAGGGCCAGAGTTGTCCCAGGCCTGTCCTAACTCCATTACGAATGGTGGGAGTTGAAGCCCAAAACACACAGAGGGCCAAAGTTGTCCCAGGCCTGTGCTAACACCATTAGGAATGGTGGGAGTTGAAGCCCAAAACATACGGAGGGCCAAAGTTGTCCCAGGCCTGTGCTAACACCATTTGGAATTGTGGAAGTTGAAACCCAAAACACATGGAGGGCCAGAGTTGTCCCAGGCCTGTGCTAACACCATTAGGAATGGTGGGAGTTGAAGCCCAAAACATACGGAGGGCCAGAGTTGTCCCAGCCTGTCCTAACTCCATTTGGAATTGTGGAAGTTGAAGCCCA